CTTCCCATTTTCCTTTCGATTTTTTTTTCCTTTATTCGCTTTTCCCAGTAGTAACGGAAGGACGCTGAGTTTTAGTGTGTGTGGTAGTCAAAAGAGAGTTATGGTCAACACATATAAAACCCATCATCAAAAAAAGGGAGAAAAATAAAGTACCCACAAGACACAAACTGTCCACCCTTCACAACCCAGCAACCACCACCCAAAGCCGGCCATTATCGGCGGAGCGTCAATTAACCACCAGATTTTGATATGGACGATTCTGATATTATTTTCGATGAGCCACTTCTGACACAAGAAAAGATATTGCATTTTCTTCTTCTTTCGGAAAAAAAAAAGTTGGGTTTGTTTTTTGGGTGTTTAAATTAAATATTCAATATTTTTGGCAGCTCGAGGTGGTGCCAAGTTTCAACCCAAGACTAAATGTAAAGCTAAAGATGGAATACCTGGCTCAATCCCTTCAAAACTCCCTTATGCAGTTCATGCTGTCCAGCCTACCGATGTTGTAGATGAGAGTAGGAGCTCACTAGTAGTGAAACCCTTCCAAGTGGCCATCCCTGATTCTTTGCTTGCAGGGGTTGCAGTTTCCAATGGTTGTGATGATTCATATTCTAGATTCGGAAGATTAGTTGGGGAGATAAAAGAAAAGAAATTTGCTGTATCTCTCCTTTATAGTATTGGCGTATTCAATACAATGTTTTTTTTTTTTTGAATTCCGGTTCAAATTATTCAGTTCATGGTTAACATATTGATGTTAATTTTCAGAATGCAGACATATTTTTTGGGTTGGAATGTCTTGATCAATTTTTTACTCAATCTTCTAACAACAATGGAGGCATTCAAATTGATGATGAAAGAACAGGGACACAGGTGCATATTAGTACTCCTATAAAAGTTTATAGACTTTCTCATTTGCAATTACTACCTTGTATTAATTTGGGTAGAGTATTGATTAATTTCAGGAAGCAGGAGCCTTTCCTGATATTATGTCTGTTGGGATCATTGCTTCTGGTACGTGCTAGATTAGCTACTATGAATATTCTTAATTTCTAGCAGGGTGTTTTTTGTGTCTTTATGAAACCCTTGTTGATTCTTAGGGCGACATGCTAGGAAATTCAAACCCAAGCCCAGGTTACAAACTAGTGTAGTCACCTTTCAACCTGCTGTGTTGATTCTGTTATGCATCCTCCGAATTCTCAGTTTGATCCTTCAGAAACTATGATTGGAGAGAGCTCAATTTCTGACTTTCCACCTGATGATGTTCCTGAGTGGTCACCCATGGATTTTGGTGCTTTTATTCCTTAAGATCCCTTCTAGCTCTGAAGTTCCGGCAAATGAGGAACTGGTAAACCTCACAGAAGCTTCTAACCCAGGTGTTGCCCTTTCTGGAGATGTTCCCGGCATGCCTAAAAAAGTGTTAAAACTTTTCCTGCACGTCTTTCTCCTGTATATAATCTTGGACTTGGATAAAAAATCTTTTGAATTTCCTTGATGTGATGCTATCCTGTTTATGTTTCCTCAATTGGTACTCAGAGTTCTAACATCAGGCAAAGAAAGGCCTATCTGGTATCAAATCTTTCTGAAAAGTTCAAACAATCTTCCCTTGGAGATGAGGAGAATGAAATTGACAAAGCAACAAAGCAGTTGAGAAAGCAGGTGACTAGTCCTCAGATTGTTGTTGATCATGAGGATGGGACTTGCAATGATGATGGCCCAGCTTCTGGACTTCCCAGTAGCTCTTCTATAGATGAGGATAAAGATGATGATGGCAATTACAATGATGAATATAATGTGGAGAGTTCATTTCCCACGAGATGAACTTCTAGGAGGTCAAACAAACCTGTGGCTGAAAATGAAAAACCTCTTCGAAAGCTTAAGATAGCTGATGAAAAACAAGCTCAAAAGCATAAGAAAATCAATGAAGCATCACTTCAGCCAGCAAAAGAAAGACCTAAGAAATTTTCTCATTCAACTCGCAAAGAGAGAAGATTTGGTTGTTACAACTTGTAGACATTAAGGTTGTGAGGATTATTCTTTATCTATTTATTTTCTTTTCTAGTGGATAAGTCTTTACTGCACACCACAGAGGATGAAATTGACTTTGCAAAGGTGGCTTTGAAGGAAATCATTCTGTTTGCATATTATAAGGAGCAGTTAGCTGTACATATTCTGTTTTTCTATAAAAGTTACCTTGCTTTCCCTATTATGCAAACAACTTTTAGCATTAGAATAGTCATTTATATTATCTTTGCTGATTCATTGCTATTGTCTTCTACCTGACCAAAATCTGTGATAGTATGCAGAAGAAAGATGCCCAAACATCAAAAATACCATTGATGAATCGAAGGTACTAGAATATTTTAACTAGAGTTGCAGCTGGCTAGAACATTATGTCTAGTAGGCTTTGCAACACCATTATCATACTTTTAGTGTCACACATAACAATTCAATCAATACGTAGCATTTTTTTAATTGCAATCTAATTTTTGGCATCTTAAGGGCATACTTACCTCTCTTTTTCTCCAACCCCAATATATTTGTATAAATTTACCAATGCTACTTTTAGTGGAACTGTTGTTAGAATAGGTTGAGGCTATGTTCATCTAAACTTCACCATGCTTTGGGTACAATTGCTTTCGTTGTTATTAAGATATCTCTTTTGGTGTCAAGAAATTCTTTAAATGAGGGTGCTTGTTTTTTCTGTTTTTTTAATCATTTCTGACATTATGTGCAGTCCACTGATTTATGTTTTTGGTTATATTATTTTCTTTGCAGTGCTTGAAAACTTTTCATGAGGAAAATGCTAATAATGAAGAAAACTCCCTTGCTTCAGAACAAGACCAAGGTTTTACAGATGATCAAGTGAATAATAGGGCTCAATCAAGTTCCGTGTGCTTAAATTACCAGTCTTACATGGACAAAGAACCCAGAGCAAGATGGTCAAAACAAGACACAGAATTATTTTATAGGGTATGT